ATGACTGCTGGGTGGACATCAAGAGACGGGCTTTGGAGGCTGCGCGAAAGCAGCACTCTTCGAGCGGGGACCAGCCGCCTCTCAAGCGCCTCTGCACGGCGAGCACGACCGCAGGGAAGCCTAGGTTTGCTTCCCTGGCGCGCACCAAGGTCCGCGGTGACACGGAGGACGGAAGTGACGGAAACGCCGAGGACCAGGTGCTCGTTCAGCAGGTCACCGGAGAACTGGAGCGCTATCAAGCGCTGTTCGTCAAGGCAGAAGAGGTGAGTTTAAGCTTCAAACGGAAGGGCTGGGGTGGCCGACGGCCATCGTTTTGGTACGAGTCGCAGCCAGTACGAAAATCAGTCTTGGTGGCAGCGTTCGCGTTTTTTGTGTGGTCGTTTTAATTTTTTCCAATCCCGCCCGCCCTTTTTTCTACCTGTGCTGGTGCTGCGCAGTTGGATACCCGAGACGTGCTGGGTTGGTGGCGACGAAGCAGGCAGATGTTCCCATTTCTCGCACCAGTAGCGCAGCAAGTGTTTGGGAACCAGGCGGGTGCCGCGCAGGTAGAGCGCGACTTCAGCAAATGCGCTGATCTCCTCACACGCCACAGGAGCCGCGTGGACACCTACTGGGTAGAGATGATCATGTTCCTCCACGCCAACTTCAAGCACGTCCCTGACTTCAAAGAAATCCCCGTCATCGAAAGCAAGAACATTCGCAAGGCTCTCCCGGCACGGTTCACCGGGGTGGATGCTGAGCTGGCAGCAGCTGAGGCTGCCTTTGACATGGTGCAAAACACTAGCACGGACCTCGGCCTCGCGGAAGTTGAAGGAAGTTGAATCACCGGCCTTTTTTTTCTTTCTTTATGTATGACGTTGAACTCTTTCGTGTGTTGAGTCGGATTGGCAAGAAAGAGTGGAAGGGCAAAGGTGGAAGAGTGAGACGTACGTGTTTTGTGTTTTGCTTTGGTGCACTGCGTTTTCGCTCCAAATGACAACAACGGAGGCTTAGTGCTGCGTAGCTACGGCGGTTGATTGTTGATTCTGTTGTTGTCGTTCTTCGCGGTTTTGATTGCTGTACCTCTGAGTGGAGGAGGCGCCAAGGCAACCGCAGGTCAGGTGTAGTCGAACTGTTTTTTTTTTTCGTGTCAGCTTCATTAATTATAGTTGATGAGGAAGACCAATGGTGGCGCCGCTGTAGGGTGGGGTAGAATCAGAATGCACGGAGCCACGTTGATCTCGGAGTATAATATCAGTATTGTGTTTCATGCGGTGCAGACGTCCTTTTGTGCGGTGCAGGACGTGATGTCCTGTGACGCTGCTACTATCGGGGTAAGTACCGGGTTCGTCTGTAGGTACGTTGTTTGTGTACCATACAGAGGAGTTCTGTGAGACCTAAGTACCCTACAGAGATTTCACAGATAGTTCGGTACTCTCCCCAGTATCTACCGAGATTTTACAGAAAGTTCGGTACTCTCCCAGTACCCTACAGAGATTTCACAGAAAGTTCGGTACTCTCCCAGTACCCTCCAGAGATTCCACAGAACGTTCGGTACTCGCCCAGTACCCTACAGAGATTTCACAGAACGTTCTGTATTCTCCCAGTACCCTACCGAAAAGTTCTGTGAGACCCCAGTACATACAGAGATTTTACAGAGGAGTTCTGTGAGACCCCAGTACCTACAGAGATTTCACAGAACGTTCGGTACTCGCCCCAGTACCCTACAGAGATTTCACAAACAGCTCTGTAACTCTCCCAGTACCCTACAGAAGTATCAGTACCCTACAGAACGGACCTGTGCAAATATTCATCACAGGATAGTGACGCAAGTATCGAGGTACTCATCACAGGATGGTGACAGGGTGGTATGGTGCCTAGTACCGCCACCAGTGTCGTTCTGAAGCGACACAGGCGAGTCAATTTGTCGAATAGGTCGGGCGTCGTAGTGCCATCAGTGACGTCTTCAGGCGAGCCGAACCTTTGGCTGACGGAATGCGCCTCTGTGTTCACCTGGAGACTGATCCGTTGGTCATCCTTCATCCGTGGAATGACTCGGTCGGTAGCTTTCGTGATTTATCCTTCGTCCATGGAATGACTCCGGTCGGTAGCTTACGTGATTCATCCGTCATCCATGGAATGACTCCGGTCGGTAGCGACTACCGACCGAGTCATTGAATGGATGAAAGATGAATCACCGATCAGTCTGCCGGTCGACACAGAGCTGCAGGCCGTCAGCCAAAAGGTTTGGCTGCGATGACGGTCTATTTCCATTGGTCCCCCGGCCGAACAGCGTCTTCCGTATGTCTACATAGCGCAGTACACCGGTTTTTCCGATCGTTTGAATTCCTGCTGTGCATTCCTATTCAGGCGTCGCCACCGTCGGGTTTTTCACTCGTTTTCTGGTGTATCCATCTATATAACCAGCTTGACGCACCTGGACGTTTTTTGTGCTGTATTTTTCCAATCTCCTAAATAATCGCAATCTCCACGGTTCTGGTTTGTTGCCGGTTTTCCTCTCCCGCTCTCGCTCCTGTCGACCTGCGCGTCGTCTTTGTCCCGCAGCGCGCTGCTTACCTTCGGGTACGGCCGGTGGCAAGAGATCCGGACCATGGCGTCCGTTAGAGACAGAAGCCTCGCTGACGTGGCTGCCGTGTGCCGGGCGATGATCGCCGTCATGCTCCAGATGGAGGCCGTCCACAACGCGCAGGCCATCGTGAAGCGGGAGCGCGAGGACCAGATCGTTCAGCGGTTGGTTGCGATCGGGAACAAGGCCAGGGAGGAGGCAACCGCCGCCGCGGCCGCCGCCGCCGCAGCCGCAGCCGCCGCCGCAGCCGCCCCCGTCACCGCAGCCGCCCCCGCCGCCGCCCCCGCCGCCGCAGCCGCCCCCGCCGCCGCCGCTGCTGCCGCCCCCGTCGCTGAGAACGGGGCTGCTGGTCCGTCGACCGCACCGGCACCGGCGGCAGCAGCAGCGGCCCCGGCCACCGCTGTTACCGCCTCCTCCGCGGCCGGTAGCAGCAGCGGCGACGCTCCTGGTAGTAGCGCGGCGGCGTGTTCTCCTGTTGTCGCCGCTAGAGCCGCCGCCGCTATCGCCGCGGCGCAGGCCAAGGCCAAGGCCAAGGCGGCGATGCCCCTGTCGGCCATCGTCGCCCCTGGCTCGTCGTCATCCACCGCCGCCGCCGCCGCCGCCGCCGCC